TCAAGTTATCTTTGTTTAAAGTTGCAAAAATATTTCACTAAAAAAGATTTGGTGCGTTTCTATTGACTCACCCCCATTTGGTGTTTAAATAAGCTTTATGCCTCAAAACCCCTTCCAAAACCTTAATTATAATCTTAAATACTAACTATTTTATACAAAACTTATATACATAGCAGGTGCTGTGTGCATTTCATAATAAATGAATTTATTCTAACACTTTTATGGTAAAATGTGTCAAGTGACTAAAAATTGATTGCACATGCGAGTTGCACAAAACAATAACATTAACGTTAAGGAATATCAGTTTAAAATGTGTACTTCAGAAATAGTGACGAAAAGGGAAAACCTGTAAATTATTTCACTAATTGAGTGAATGATTAGCAGATTTTTCCTTTTCGTCACTCCAAAACAATAAGTATATTAAAACCTTTATGAAATTATTATTTTAATAACAATGGCCATTAAATCAAATTTATCAGAAAATGATATAAATTATTAGAAATAAAACGTTATCTATTTCATCGAATTAGATTATTCATTTAAACGCCTTTTTATATTTATTTTTACATATTCATGTACTGTTTAACATGTTGTTTTAATAATTATCTTACACTAACTATATAACTTAGTATGTTATTAGCTTAGATAAATATTTGTTAGTAAATTGTAATGTAAGTTACATGTAAGTATATCATATAAGTTACATGTAAGTAAATCATGTAAGTTACATGTGAGTAAATCGTTTGTACACATTAATGAGTAGTATTTTTTCGTCAACTACTGTATATAGAACATAAGAATAGATAGTGTTCCATTGGCGAGTAATTGGATTGGTTTTGATGATTTTGAACGGTCCCAAAATTGATCAAAGTTAAATTTTGGTGCAATATTACGAACTTAATTGCATATTTCTATATTTCAGGAGTTTAATTTGCTGTCTACGTAATACGTAGCAAATCAGAAGTTGTTTTGATTGGAAATTTTAGTACTCATGAAACTTTCAAAAATAGTTAATGCCTCCTATAGTCTTGCAATACATTAATTATATAATAAAACAATATTGTAATAAATAATATTGTAATAAACATTCTTGTAATTTGATAATATATCATTAAACTTGGATTCTAAGATACGCCACTATAAACTTTGTATTTATAAACTAAATTATATACTTAACTTAAATAAAACAACAATATATATATATCAAAGTATGGTTTTTTTATAAGGTAAGCAGAACTATTTGAGACAGAAACTTGCAACCTTTACTTACCTCTCATCTAGTTTTTGAAACTATCGCATCCTACTGCATCCCAGGTTAAAAACAATAAGTCTCAAGGTAAAATACTAACAACACAAGTTTGTTACAAAAAAACCAATGTGACATGACGATTTTTACTTTAAAAATTACATTGAGATTGTCGCCAATCATATTTATTCTAATTTTAGCTGACCAAACAAACTCTACGTAATAAATGTTTTGTTTGTACAGAATAGTGAACTAATAAATAAAATTTTATACTAGGAACAAGTGCAACGAAGAGTATGTTTAATCTCACCAGCTTTTTGCCCATGGCTTTGCCATGGAGATTTTATCAAACGAATAAATTATAAATATAATATTCACCAACCGAATTGATCTATTGATTGGGTAGCATTTGTAAGATAAAAATAAATACTTGGTTAGGGGTGTGCCGTTTATTACGTAATTTTTTTATTAGTGATCACCTCCCCTAAAAAATTTCGTCTCACCCCATAACAAAATAAATCAGACTAAATACGAAATTTGTACAATAAGAACTTAATAATGACTACTATACTTACCAATCAACCTGAAGACTGCTAAAATTGTCACTTTACGAGAAAATTATGTTATAGAAATTCTGTTAAGAATTATATTTTTAAAATAAAATTAACGACTTTGTTATATTCTAAACTTTAAATTTGCACAACATTGACAATCTAATATTACTATTAATAGTTATAATGATCATCGGTTGATTCGGAAAATTCCGAAACTATCCAATTTTTGTTCGGAAAATCGAACATTTTAAAGAATCTTTATTGGATGCATATGTTTTTATAATTCATATCATACCTCTGTGCATTATTTCACAAGTTATGATAGATTAGAGTTAAAAGTGTATTTATATGTAAAATTAGGTGCTGGGCATTTTTCTTAAGGACATACACCAGTTTTTCTAATAAAATTTTGAGATATTCCCGATTTTTTATTTTAATTAACCCTCTTTACTTTTTTTTTTTCGGCAGGTTGTTGATCGTTTCCGTATAAGTTTAAAGTTGGCATCGATCTTCTGATAAACGTTTTACTTATTGGTTGTGCTTGTGCTCGTGATCCGCCACCTTTCCTTTTACGCTAATACAGTAATGATCTGCGTTCGGTTGTTTTTATATTAAGTTATGCGTTATTACTGTATATCTGTATATCTGTATATCTGTATATCTGTCTGTATTGCATGTATTGCATGTTTTGCTTAAGTCCCCCTTTGGATTTTTTATCGTACTCATGTTGTATTTATAATTTTTTCGATCGTCACGTGAATTTATGTTTAATTTAGTTTATTGGAGTAATTGTTATTCTTATTATTGATCTTCGTAAAGTTTATTTAATTTTTACTAATAAGTTATTATTTGCTTTTTTTTAATTTACTAAATATATAATAAACTTTTCATAGTGCTCATTGTATTGCATTAGGTTTTATTGTGCCCGTTGCTTTATGATAGTGTGCTAAATTAGTTGTGCTCATATTTGGACATTCTTTGCTAATTCTTTATTACTTTTTGAATTTAAATTGACAGTATCGTTATTGTCATGTTGAGCTTTATCATGCCCGTTGCTTATTTTCTTGGCATGATACGCTACACCAGTTGTATTATATGTCATTTGCATTTGGGCATTCTTTACTAATTTTTTATTAACGCTTAACTTAATTTAATTAATTTAATTAATGGTATCGTTATTGTTGTGAAAGTGTCGAATATTTATTTATAATTAAATTAATAAAATAGAGAAAACCTTTTTTCGATTTAAATTAGGTTGATTGATTTCTATTATTACTAGATGTTGTACTGCTCCTATGCATAGAAATAATATATATATGCTCGTAAACATATTCACTAAAATTTTAGTTTTCTTACGATTTAATTTGTTTTGATAATTAAATTAACTATGCCTTCACACGCTACGGTAATCGTCGTTATAGCTACAAAAGAGAATTTTAATTCTTTGACCCAGAGGTTCGCTAAATATCAAATGGCAGAAAATGATTTTAAAATCGTTCACTGGAAGTACTTTTATCCTTTCAATCAACCTTACACCGAATTTTCGGTTGGTAACATTGTGATGTTCGCTGGCAAATTTATAGTCGAAAATCTTGAACAATATGTTACTGTTTCTTATCTATGTGTCATTGTGCCTGCCGACCCTGATCGTGAATTTCAGGCCGAAGAAATTCCGCTCGGTGTTCCTTACTGTATGTTCTCTGTACTAATCACCCGTGAACCAAAGCAATGTAGTGATTCTATGTACTTCGACTCTGTATGTTATCAATGCAACTCGATTACAAATTCTAGAAATGTCTAAATGAAATTAAGGATATTTTATCCTACCAATGTGCTGCGCTTTTCCTACTTGCGTGTTAATAACAGTGTTAAAACAGGCAGAACGTTTATTGTTTCTGGTTTTATTAGGCATATCACTTCTGATTTTACTATAGTCAAACTTACAGACTTTGACTTTATATCCGCGAATGTCAATACAGTTCAAAATGTGCAAGTAAGCACTTCCTCTGTTACTTCGAGTTATCACTCGGATATTGACTTAATCACGAAAGATGTTGAATCTACTACCTTGTGAGCTCAAAAAAAGCCCTGTGTGATAGCGACAAGAAATTCTAAACAAAGCACTAGCTCATCTCTTGTTAGTGAATCTATTGCTCCATTCTCGACTTCTTTAATTCCTAGTGATCCAAACCCTAAAATGAGCCAAATCCAAAAAGGAAAAAATAAATTGTCTGATTTGGCTTTAAGTGGTCTTGAACTGACCATTGCCAATGACCTTCAGGATGAATACATTGTTGATGAGGATGCGTCTGATAATTTGGACCAATTGTGTGAACAAGAATCACTGTATGAACAAGATGTTGAAGAGCAAAAAAAGAAGAGAAGTAGAAGAACTTCGAAGAAAATTAAAAAATAATTCCTATATTTTACAGAACGTATACACTTAACACGATATCTTACTTTATCGTGAATAAACCGATTGTTGTGATTAGATATTTGATTATGAACCTACCTATTAACAATTGTATTTGAGTTCTGGTGCCTCTTAATATAGAATCCGTATATAGTTAAGACTACGATGTTTATGAATATTAAATTTTTTGGTAATTTTAATTCTTTTATATTCTTTCGTTATATGTAAAACCAGTCATGTTAAATTGTTCATTTATTCAATAAATTTACTTTCTGTTTATCTTCGAATGCGTTCTTATTTGATCTCCTCACTGTCATGATTGGTTTACCGTCTTTAATTCATTACCTTCGATATGTTGGTTATCGAAAATTACATATACGAGTGTGCTTATTATTAAAAAATAAATAAATTGTAAAATATATCTCGTCATCGTGAATAATACCATTGTTGTTATTTTATTAATAAATTGTTTAATTAATACTTTTTAGAAAGATGAGATGTTTACTTTGTCCCTGCATGAAATTATTGTTGATTTAATAATCGTTGGTTTGTTATCTTGAGATCGGTAATTTTAACACTTCTTTAAAAGTTAAAAGTTATATTAGAAGATATTATTATCTTTCGCTGTTGATGATCTTGCTTTTTGCTTAGATATGATCAATTAAATATTAGCATTCCAGACTGCATAATATGTCTCTTCTGATAACTCAATTATTTATAATTTATAAAAATAATCACTGTCACTTTTTGTACCTGTTTGTTTTAAATAAATAAGTAACAAAATATGCATCATTGTCGTAAATAATACCGTTGTTATTAATAAATTGTTTAATTGATCCATTTTAAGAAATCTTATTATTTACTTTGTCCTTGCATAAAACAATCGTTGAATCTTATAATCATTAGTTTGTTATCTTTAGAACAATAATTTGACACTTCTTTAGAATTTATATAAAAGGACTCATTGTTTTTCACTGTTAATAACCTTACTTTAAATAATATTCGGTTTTTAACCTTTGTAAGTCACATACAATGTCTCTTCCGATAACTCAAGTTTCTGTAGTTGACTTAGATGAAGATGATCCCTATTACGATTTGTGCAATGTTTTTTTTTCAGAGCACCAAGCCTGGTTGAATGTTAATGCTAATCATCCACGAGCACCCGCTTTTTTATCGAAGAATCAAAATTAATCAGCTTCGGACCTAACTTCTTTTCCACTGTGGCAACCTTCGCTTCCTTTGATTTCTCTCAGTCACAGATTCCAGACTGAAATTTTATATATGTTTTCTTGTGTTTCTTGTTCACATTGCTCTATTCTTATGTTTCCTGCTCAAGCGAAGTGGGTCTCTCGTGATACCAATGTCAATTACATCTTCTTAGAGCTTTCCCACATTTGTCGATTATTGAACATCCTAATAAAGAAGGTTATGTTGCTGTGTGTGCTTCTTGTATATCTGTCGCTAAACGTCGCAATGCTTCAACACTTGCTCCTATTCCGGATGCCCTATCAAATGTTTCTATGTTTCATCACCATTGGCTTTCACCTATTCACCTAAGTTGCTCTCTTGGACGCGCAGAAAATGCAAATCATTTTACTCATTATCGGCATCTTAGTAGTGCATTTGGTCTCTTGAAAAATCTTCATGCCTTACAAATCTATGCTAGAACATTAGGCGCTATCTTAGATTCTACTCCTAACAATAACTGGTTTCATCCATCTTTGCTACATGCTGCTGCCTGGTTGAAAATAAATAATCAATTCTTTAAACAATTTGATCAAATGTTTTCATCAATTACTTTTATGCATCCTCCAAACGTTTTTCCTACAGTGCAATTAATTAATGATGAAAATGCATTATCTAGTAACACACAACTGCCATGTCATCCTGATATAGTTGTACCACCATATGATTTTGACCCTGAAATTCATGATGAGGACTTTTATTACAGTAGACAATTAGCGGGCTTTATGAGGGATTCCAACAACGTGGAGTTACCAATTCCGTATAATAATTCTAATTTAGAGGCTATACTTTTTCCTGATCTTTTTCTGGATGGGCATGGTCATTGGAGAGAAATCTCTAAAAATTTAAACAACCATCGTAACCACATCGATACATATATCAAATATATTAAGCTTCGACTGTTGTGTCCAGATCCTCGATTCCATCTCCACTAGTACTAGCCGTATTGGTCTTATATTAACTTGGAAAAGCTACAGAACCATCAGAAAAGGCAATGTATTTTACGTCAACGTAATATAGATCGATGACAACTTCTGACGATTGCTGATTTGATTAATCAGAGTATTTACAGTAATCGACCAGTCATCAATGAAACATTGACCACTTCAATCCCTTCTTATATCCAAACTGGTGATACCTATTTTCGTCGACGCCAATATTTAGTAAATGCGATGGTTCAATGCTTTGGCCTTCCCCAAATTTTCTATACTATAACTATGGCCAAAGGACTTTGGCCACATTTATTAACAATTTTATCGTGTACTAATGACCATTGCTCTCTGCCGACGAATCGCCCTTTACATGCTTATTATCATTACTATCACAGATTAAATTCTGTTCAAAATTTGCTTTGGAAAAATTCAAATCTAGCTGAGTGGGGTAAATGGTTGCATCATTTCAAACATAATGAATTTCAAAATCGTGGCAGCATACATACTCATGGTATAGCTTATCTCGATATGTCGATTCCAAATCTAATAAATTGTAATGTTATTTATGTGAACTTGCCTGATCCCCAATCTGAACCCATTCTTTATGAACTGGTTCGTAAGCATCAAATCCATCATTGTTCCCCTAGTAAATGTGATGGTCCTCCTCTTCCTGAAGAACAATGCAATAAAAATTTCCTGCACCACTGTCTGATTGTACGTATTTTGACCCTAATTTATTATGTTATACTTATCGTCGAACCAGAAAAGATGATCAATGGATAGTTTCCTATCACACGCCTACTTTATTGTTGTAACAAGGACATTATAATTTTCAATACATCACCTCTAAATCTTTCGCTAAGTATATGACCAAATACATTACCAAACCAGAAAGTTCTGATCTGTTTACAATAACTGAAAATGACACCTATCGCTCTCATATCTTAGCCTGACGACTTGGTGCGATGGAATTAATGATACTTTTGATAGGATACTCTATATGTCGTTCTACTATTGCAACAGAATATTTACCAATCGCGCCTCCTAATATATGATCGAAGTGTGTAAAGCCAATTCATTTGTTAAATATTGACTCTTCTAACCCATACTGGGCAGATGCAATTGACAAGTATTTTTTCAGACCTGTCAATTCACACTTCGATAGTACTACATATCTGCATTATCATCAAAATTACAAATTAAAAACCAATCAACCGGCTTTGAATATTAACTATTGGGTAGACCAGCAGAGTAAATTTGTAATTAAGAGAAAAAAATTGATTTTAGTGAGATTCCAATATTTTTCGGTAGAAGATGGTGAATCATTTTTCTACCAACAACTTTTACTTCATTTACCCTGCAGGAGTGAGTCTGAGTTACTGGGTTTGTACTCTAACTACCATGATTATTTTCGTTCAATATTTCCTGAACAATTTGATCAAGCTATGCAGAACATTAACCAGAATACGACAGCAAGATTTGTTAGGTTTTCTAACAATTACCAGTAACAAATAGATAAAATAATACGTAGTATGCAGCAAGATATTGCAACTATTATACGTAATCAGCTTGATATTATGTTATGTTCTTCACCCTTGACTTCTCGATATTCGCTATTAAAAACCCCATCTGATCAATATGCTGCATTCAATCTATTAACTTCAACGTGGAGGCACGTAGGCGAACGTGGTCATCCGTATTTTTTTCTAACTGGCTTGGCTGGAACAGGAAAATCTTATCTAATAACTCTAATCATAAACCACCTCCTATCGCATCGTAAAAAATACCTATTAATGGCTTTGACAGAAGTGGCTGCCCAGAATATCAATGGCAGAACTATTTACTCTCAACTAAAAATACGGCCATCTTCTGGCAATCATATAAGTTTAGCCCTGAACAATCCTGAAAGTCGTCAACTTCTCCAAGAAGTTGAAGTTATTATCATTGATGAAATATCTATGGTATCTGCTGGTTTACTGACATTTGTTAGTAATCTCTTTGCCCATCTACACAGTAATGCTTTACCATTTGGTCGGATCAAGGTCCTGCTGATCGGTAACCTTGCACAACTACCTCCTGTAAGTGGTGCCCAAGTGTTTCGATCCCCTGTTTGGTCCGAATTTTTTCTGATATTCTTAACAACACCCCGTAGACAAAATGAGGATATGATGTTTTACAGGGTATTAAATGAAATACGAAATGGAATTGTGTCACCCAATACCTTACAAACAGTTAATAATAAAATAAGATTACCATCTTTGTGTTCCCCTATCGATACCACTCATTTAGTTGGTTTCCATTCCATCGCTGATAATATAAATAAGTTGGCCTGTCTAACGTTACCTCGGGAATCAGTTGATTCTGAACCAGTTTTCTTAGTTGCTGTTGACTACATTAATCACCAAGAATGGAATGTGTTTGATAATGATTGTAATTTTCATGAATATACAAACCTACCTGTAACTTTGATCTTACAAAAAGGTGCTTGTGTTATGTATCTTAACAATACTCTATTCGATTATAGTCTTTGTAATAGTTCTATTAGAATCGTTGTTAAGTTGGTAGATGATGACATGGTCAGTGTCATGTTTCCAACATCGTCGAGAATGATTACAGCGACTGTAAAAAAAATAACTAAGCATTTTCATTTAAATGGCTTACCGTCAAGTCGGCATCAATTTCCTTTTCAGAATGCCTTCGCCCTCACTGTACATAAAATACAAGGATTGACCATACCCAATATTTCTGTTTCTATCGATGAACAGATGTTTGCGTATGGTCAAGCATATGTTGCACTTAGTCGAGCCCCATCATGGAATTTATTGGATATTACTTCGTTCGATCCAATTCATGTAAAAACTGACTCTGCAGTTATTACTGAATATGAACGATTAACTTCATTACATAATGTTGGTTTACGCAATTTTTCACAATGTCTCTCTTAATTTTATGTCTTCAACTTTTATAAAACATCGTTTAAACAGTTAAAAAATGATTCCATGATTCGATTCATCCCTTCTGCTCCACATTCTCTTAATTTTTTTAATTACATTGAACACCAAGTGAAGATAATCCAACAAACTAAAAAAAGACCAATAGTCTACTGTCGTTATTAAATGTGCTATAATAAAAACTAAAGTTAATTTCTTTATATCCATCGCTTCCTTCTCTAAATACTGTCGCGTAAAATCAGAAACTATTTGTATTTTTTTAACAAATTGTTAAAATATTTGTGATACTAACATTATAACAAGAAGATCATGTATCTCATTTTACTTCGTTTAATTTTGTGTATCATAATAATATATCTAATATTGATACGACGATTATGGATATCCTTATAATAGGCAATGCTCTTCGTTAAGATTGTTCTAGATCGATAAATAAACAAAATTTCAAATTTAGATTAATATATATAAATTAAAATCAAGATCTGGATACTTGGATCTGATCGACATGGAGTTCATGATCGATTATGTTATTTTTTATATCTTGACAGAGGTATGCTGAACAATAGAGATATAATAAATGGTCAAGAATGTGCAACATGTCCTACAACCAAACTGTTAAAATCGTGTTTACTATTGAAAAATCAAAATGAAGATAAAGCCGCCACCAATTTTAAATAGCCTGACTTTTTTTAATATCATTGCAAAGGATAAAAACCACCACTGATCTCTAAATAACCTAACTTTATTTAACTAGATTATAAATTATCCACATCATAATAAATAGCATCGTTTATATTACCTGAGTCAACTCGAATACGGTGAATAATTCGCAGTTCAAAGTAACGAAATATGTTTAAATTATTATGATGTTTATACTTATTATCTCAATAATCCTTAATAGATATCAAATATTTATAGAACCGGTATTAAAACAATGCCGTGTTATCACTTAAAATCAATATTACTAAAATATGTATGAACCCCTTTTTTATACAAATAAGTAGCTGCATGATGTTGTCATGTGAAACCAGGAACGGAAGATGGATTTTCAGATCGAGTTGCAGATGAAGCTGCTTTGTCATGAGTTTTTTGTTTGCTTAACTTTTATAAGTTTTAGTTGCACCTTTAAATTAGATTATATGTCAGTAAGTTGATTACTTATAATGTTATTTAGGTTGACTTTATATGCATTCAGATAGTTAATATAGTATGGTATAATGTATCATTCTTGCATGTATGTTGTTTTTTAAAATAATTTATTTACTTTTGTTTTTATTTTATTTCATGTAACTGATAAATATAATAAACATTATAAAAGGGGTCTTTTAGTCTACGCTGTACAGTAATTTGCAATTAACGTAAGTCTAAAAAGCAGAGAATCAATAATTCGATAACAGTAAGTAGGTAAACCTCCTTTTTTTGAAACAACATTTGTATAAGTTACTAAACATTGTATTTAACTTTCATAAAAATATATAAATTATTCAGATGTCTCAGTATTAACCATTTCGCTTCCTATGATATAAGAATACAAAAACTAGTAAAATCAAAAATAATTTAATAAATATATGACGAGGTTAAAAGCTGAGATAATAAATAGAGAAATTAATATTATTCAATAAGCTAGAAATAATAATTATCTGGTCACAAATATCTAATTCACATTTTTTTTTTTATCATATGTCAATAGACAAAAGCTTATAGGTAAAAATCTAGAACTCACAAGACGATGTCACAAGGTTATATTAACCAATCTGATAAAAAAGAGACACCATATTTCAGATACCTATAAACTATACTCTATGTTGTACATTGTACTAACTCCATTTCTGGTATACATTAATGTTTATTCGTACCTCTGAATCATCTATCTGTGCAAAGTAATAGTGATAAAACTATAAACGAGAGGCTTTATTACAATTATAATAATCAATTTAGAAAGTAGGCAATATAAATATAAATGCGTAAATGTTTATTCGAAAGTACACAAGAAAAACAGCGCCAAAACTAAATTAACTCTTTTACTTAATGCACTAATGCAATGATACACTGCAGTCATTTCTAACTCCCTTTAAGCAACTCAAGCGCCTAGTTTTTCTTAAATAATAATTATCAACAAATTTGAATTTTTTTTTATAAATAAGTAACACTCTCAATATGCAATATATTATTCAATTTGTTATTCATAGAAAACAACTAAAAATTTAAATTGGTATCAATATTATTAACATAAATCTCTTTACTTGGTTTAGGATCTTAATTAATCCTAAAATTTTCAAATTCTGAAGGTGTTCTCAAACCTCAACCCCAATGTGATTAGCGGGTGATCATAATAGTACACAAATATAATTATATTTATGTAAAATTTTTATTTAAATTCGAATATGTAAGCTATGATGTGATTGAAATTTTCTTATGCATCATCCTTGATGCAATTAGCTAGTAATCGTGATGATGCTCATTTATCATAATCAATAAAAATAAACATTAAATTGATACTTGAGCGATTTATTATTATTTTATTTACATATCATATGTCATCGTCAAAAATTAATAAACCAAAAAATAACAAAAAGAATACTGTCAAACAAAAAGTAACAGATGCTAGCAAAGCAACAACTTCAGCTGTTCCTGTTGCACCATTTACTGACTTTACTAACCTTAATATGTTATTTCAACCACATTATCCTACCTCTCTATTTTTTATGAATCTATTGGTTTTAAATAAGGCAACTGCCAAACATCAAGAGGTATTAATCATATATTGATATATATTTATTATATAATTTATACAATTTATATATGTAATACTAATTTTTTAAAGCATTGCTTTCATTTAATAATTATGTTAATCAAAAAAAATTATGTTCATCCAAGACCAAATTAGAAACTACTTCAGAATTAACTTTCAATGATAATTCAGTTTCAGATACAAGTTCAACTTCTGAAGCATTAAATAACCAATCAAAGTCAAAGTGATGGTCTTTATCTAACATCTGAATATTAATTGAAGAAGTTAAAAAGCAATATAAATCATTACAATGGGCAAAAGATCTAAGAGAAAAGGATCATATTAGAATAATATTATTTCAAGTATTCAAGCTTCTGCTCCAAACTCAATTTTAAAAGATCAATCTAAAATTTCAATTCAGCAAAAATGAGATTCTATTCAGCAAAAGTGGGATTCTATTCATCAAAAGTATCAAAATATAAAGAATATTATTAAAAATACAGGTGAAGAAGCTATTCAAAATGAGTGGAAATTTTTTAATGATATAGATATTTATTTAAAAAATAATTCAATTACTAGTAATTCAATTCATAGTATTAAGCATTATAAAACTAATAAAAATTATATAAATAATAATAATGAGGTAATAATGTATTTAATATTTATATATATTTTTTATTATTTATTTAATATTAATAATTGTATATAAATTAATTTGAAAAAAGAAAAAAATACTCATTTTGATGTTAAAAAAAACATATTGATAATATTTTAATTCATATTGACAAGCAAACAGAAATAATTATTGAAACAATTAAAAATTAATATATTTATACTAGTTAAATTCAGAAAAAACAGCATAATAAGCAGATGAAAATTTTTAAGTAATTTCTTATAAAATTTTAAGAATTATATGTAATAATAAATTGTAATAATTATAATAAATTATTATTTATTTTGAACTAGAAGATTTGCTAAATACTCTTGGTTTTGCATATCTACTAATCTTTCTCTTCTAATATTTATAATAAATATTTCTTTATTTTTATTATCATCAATAAAATTAAATTAAAATTTTAATAATTTTAAAATATATAAATTAAAAAAAGATATATTATATAATATTTTATTAACCTGTTTTACCAATATATATATATATAATATTTTTAACTATTCACAACTTCAAGAAAATTAATTAAATGAAAGCTTTTACAATTTATATAATATAAACTATTTTTATTAAATGAATAAATAGGTTTATGTAAACCATCTATCATACTAATAACATTGGGTAAATTATTTTCTAATCTAGTTATTTTATGTTTAAACTTTTGAATAACTGTTATTAATTGTATTCTCTGTAGTCACTTTATTTTCTCTTGTTCTATATCTAATAATACATTAAAAATTGATCTATAAAATGACTAACTGATTTTTAATTTATTCTAAGCATTTATTCTAAAACCTGTATACCTACTCTATAAGAAAATTATCATAATATAATAACAATTTGTTTTTATACTAATGTTGTATTAAAAGCTTCAAACCTAAAGACTAAATGTATCTCTAATTAAGAGACAATAGCATTAAATATTAAAAGAATTATATAAAAATGTCTTTGAAAAGAGTTATAATTCTTATTAGCATTTAAGTATGAAAAAACATCTGTTCAGAATTCATCAATTTTAGGTCTTTATTAATATTTGGTTATTGTATCAAATGAAAAAATTATTGCAAAATAGTTAAACTTGCTGTTATATGATTAAAGACTAAAAAATAATAAATATTTACAATTGTTCTTTGAGTCTTTTAATATTTTTATTTTTTTATAAAAACTTTTAGCATAAGAATCAAGATAATAATTTATTGAGACTGAGAATTTTGATTCATGACTGTTATTTAAGTAATCTCTATAAATACTCAATTAATAATGTTGATATTAAGAGTTTTATATTTTTGATCATAACTTTTAATATACTAAACCAATTTAAATAAAACAATTATTATTGAATTTAGCTTATCTAGCAATTCTAATAAACACAAAATCATGTGATTCTGATTACAGAATCATGAGATCAGGATGATTTTGATGAAGTACTAATTTTAGTATATGTGACTTGTATATAAATAGCTAAATTAACTAAGCCTCAAATCTCTTAAATCTCTCAAATAATATAGATATCACATATATTGAATTTCTCAAATATATGATATATATATTATTTATTAGATTTCTTTTATATATACAATATTTCTTATATATAATATATAACATATATCTTTTATATCTTTAATATTTCTTATCATATATTACTATATTTAGTATATTCTATTGAGATAACTTAGCTTTATTGTAATTATTTATATATATATAAGTATCTATAAAAACATTACTTTCTGATCCTTCAAGAAAGTTAAATGTTTTTATATATTTTAATAATGAATAAACTAAATACAATATTTAGTATCTTTATATAATAAAATCAGAAAATATAATGAGTCAGTCATTCCACAATCCAAAACCTTATATAACTTACAGTTGGCTTAGTTAAAAAAAAATATTTAGATTTGGTTAGCAGTTTGGGTCTGTAGATAAGTATTTATTTTTTACTTGTTTTGGTTTTTCTTATTTAAGCTATTTACTAACTTTAATTTTTATTACCTTTTTTTTGACTAATTAAACAACATGTACAATCTCAACTATTATACTTTTTTAAATAGTTGGACTCTAGTAACCATGGCTGTTCCTAGTACTTTAGAATACAATAGTCAGATAGGGGTGTAACAATACTTTTAGATAGAACAGATAAATTGCAAAAGGCAATATTTATAGTCTGGGAACTTAGTGATTAGTTAATATATTAAAAGAAATATTTATGTATTTATTAATATGTAAGAAATCAATTATTAGTTTAATAAAGCAAAATATCTTTCTATCTTCTTAGGATCTTTATGGCCTTTATTTATAAGAATATTTTACTATATATATTTTTTTGGTCTATATTAATGTTATTTAAAACTATAATTATCATTATATTAGTGTTTTCTCTATTACTAACTATGTTACTTATTTCATCACACCTTATCAAAATTGCAAGCACTAAACAAATTACTGATACACAAGCATGATATATAATTAATACTGTCATTATCTTTACAATTAAGTATTATTTCTATAACATTGTTCTTAGTCAAAATACATGCAACAAAATTCTTACAAGCCATATTGGACTGGTTAAAAATAAGACTAAACTCAATTGCACAATCCCTACAAGTACACTACTTCATTCTCAACTTTACAACATTCACAATATATGGGACATTCAATTACAACATTATATCACAAACTTTACCAAAAGACTCAATTTATCTAATCTTTTAGGAATAAGTATCCATATTAGACTTCAACAACTTCAAAATAATTTATAGTTATCTATCAGTATTCTAATATATGATAATCCTATTATTAATGGCCTCAACAAACATACAGTTAATTTCAAGATTATTCAGCTCTTCAAACACCTTGGCATGATGTTTACATCTAATCTACTATACAACATTTCATGCACTATTCAAGAGGGTTCTATCTCACTTAAATTACTACTTTCCTCATATCTTAAATTTATAACATTCAAAAAACAACTCAGACATCATGGTGTTTTATATTTAGATCAACTTATTACATTTGATAACTCATGTCTTCTAGATTGAAAACATATTTCTCTACATATAAACTAAATTCCTCTGGTTTACCTATTTGGAGGACCAAGTCACAAGTCACTCTTACAATCATACTTTTTATCAAAACTTGTACTTACCTGATACAAATTATTATAGTTATACAACTAGACATTTTTCTTTATAGAAAAAACCATGACTTATCACAGTTCTTAACAACCAAATTATCATTGACAAAGCTAGAAGACAGCCTTTACCATTTGGAACTGTTCTTATAACTCTTTGGCAATATTATATTGAATCACAATTTACTCATCTCTATCCTCTTTTATCTATTCAATCAAATGCATGCTCAGGCTGTTGTCTTAATTCTTACACAATAGCTAACAAATGCACAATTATTATGTCACAACTAAATTTTATAGTCAGTTAATACATATAACAAAACTCTTAACTTTAATGCTAACCATCTTGACCTTATATATTCTATTAGAATTAGACACC